TGAGGTGGTATCAGGGGACGAACTGAACGTTCTAAGGTGCTGAGTAAGACTTGGTCTTCATCATGTGGAGAATAATCATTTTTGTGGGTCAGGGGGAAGGGAGGGCAAACAAAAACCTTAGGATACAGCAGAGGCTGTCAGACATTACTGTGGTACAGTAATATGTGAAGTTGCACAATCTGACACAGTATAACCCCCACACATTTACAACTGTTGTTTTCCTGTCACAGAAGGAATGTATTTCATTACATATTAAATAACATCTCATTCTTGGTTGCTCCAACTTTCTTTAAAATGCCTCCTAAATATCTTCTGAATTTTGGTTGAATTTGTTCCTGTGGCTGTTAATGATAATTTGGCATTGATTTGACATCGTGTATCTAAGCTACAAGAGCCTCCTAGTTTGGGCCTAAAGTATTGGGTAACTGCTGTGAATTGAGGGGCCGTGTCTTTTTCCCACCTCTGTTGTTTTGCTTTCTATTTTTTTCCCTATAGTTCACAACAGCACCAAAGCTTGTTTTTTGAAAGTACAGACATATGATAAAGTCAAAGGGACATTGGCAGGCTAGGTTAAAAAATAAAAGTCCTTATGCAGAAGCAACACGTACATTGTCTCATGTTTAACCTAGTATATCACATCTTCTACCTCCTTGATAACATCAGCACAGTCAAAAGGGTAACCCTACAGCTAGGACAGGACCTGTTTAAGCAACCTTTCTTTCATTTTCCACATCCCCAAAAGCAAAACAAATAGTTTGTCTCATGTCTGTCAACAATTCTACAAGTTACTTGAGGAAAGTTGGATTTTCCTTGGAAGAAAAACTTGGCAATTTTACTTTCGCTCTAAATACAGACCACTTGGACTTAGCCAGAAACAGAAGTACTGAGAAACTAAGACTTGCATTAACCTTGTCAAAATTTGGCATGATGAAAGAATGAAATTCCTCAGTATCTTCTCTGTACTGCTGGAGAGCTTCAAATCCATACCTAAGGAATCTAAATTGCCAGTGTAAAGAATAAACCAGTTAAAAGCTTCTGATCTTTTCTCTTCTCTTGCTTATTTTAAACAACTTAATACTTCCGGATTTGGCAGAGATTGCCTGGACTCTTTCTTTTGGCATGTGTTTGCAGTGACTAACAGCGTGGCAATTGATACCTAGCAGAATATCTTGCTGATAACTTTCCTGAAGGTTGTATTGTTCTCGGTTCAAGGGAAAAGAAGTTGGGTATACTTAGGCAAAGAAGCCACAAGCTTTGTATGATGCTTGGCATGTCTTGCAAATAATATATTGCTGCACTAACGAAGTCCCATTGATTGTCACATTTATGTCTGTTCCTTAGTCTCAGACATTCTGTATTGTTATGCTGCCAACTGAGATGTTTATAGCAAACTTTGTAGCCTTCAAGGAAATTGAAATGGCAGTTTTATGTCAGATAAAATTCTGTGCAGTCCTGTACAAATACCACAAAAACTCAGAAGTTGTGTTCATTCTTGCTGCCAAAGGGTGTTCTGAACAGGTCTTCCTTTCAGCAGAATCTCCAGGGTGGTGAACGTTGCTATAAATTCTGTCCCTCTGAATTTAGACGCAGGTTGTTGGAAACAGGTGCTTGAACACAGTTCCTCCTTTATCCCTCTTACATAATACACTTGGTAAATTTGTCTGGCCTCAGAAGTTTGGGAGATCGTGTGTCACCTCTGAGATGGACGCCCGCAGCATGTGACCATCTCTCAGGTTTGCTGGCGTGCTTCCTTTGGTGGCCTAGGATGTATGGAAGAAAGTGAAGGAGCCCAAAATGGGGACAGCTGCCTTAGGCTTCTCTCCAACGGTTGCAGAGGAACGCTCATCTTGGAAGAGGTGGAAGATGGAGGTTTGAGAGCCAAGCGTGCAGTCTAAGGCTGCGAGGTGCTAAGGGGAACAGGAGACAAGAACCATCGTAGCATCTCTTCCTGTGAGTTAGGCCAGGAGCATTTCTGACCCCAGTCACTTTTTTACTTATAAATCCTAATCTGACAGGATCAAACTAGCTGCTCTATAGACCTCTATCAAGACAGATCATCTTCTCTTAGGCTGAAACTGTCTCTGGTTTGGGGTGGAAAAGAGTTTATTTTTGAACCTGGCAACAAGATATGTTGTCATTCTCCTGGTGTTGAATGTTCACTTTGCATTTTTTTGCATTTCAGTCAGCATTACTGGACAAAGAAGTCTGTCAGCACTCTTTGCTTGGAGGTTCATCCAGATCATCACCTGTACTGGCTTGGTACAGCAAATAACTTGCCTGTCAAGATTGAGTCTAAATTCCATCCAAAACTGCTTTTGATTCTCTTGCGTTACAGAAAGCTTCTTTGATGCTTAAAGGGATGAGCTGGACTGAATTAGGAATTTAGAGCTTAAGAACTTGAGCAGAGAGCTCAAACCTTCCTGTCTGGGGGAAGATGTTAATCTGTTCTCTCCAAAACCTAGCCACCTGTATCTGGTGGATGTGGAGCACAAGTGTGACAATTTCTTGGGTGCTGGTCTGAAACCGTTTTGGTACGTGGTGCTCTTAGCAGCAGTAAGGAGAGCAGGTTGTCTTGCTACAGGAGTTAGACCCAACTCAATCAGCTGAGTGTTTTGTCCTTTAAAATAGCCCTGTTTACAGGGAGCTGCTGAAAGCAGAGAAGATGTTCCCTGCAGCAGGTTCTGATAGCAAAGGCTCCTTTCCCCCTACAGGGGGGTGGGAGTGCATTGACTCCTCTCTTCCTTCCTGCTTTGGCCAGAAAAATCCTTTTTGGAGCATTTATGAGAGCTCTAAAAGCATAGTCCTACTATATTGGGCAACTAAAATGGTTAATTTCAGCAAACTAGACCTGTTCTGCCAGGAGTTATCAAAAGATAGCATGTTCCAGCAATGGCATGACTTTGAACAGACAGAGAGTGAGAAGCAAAGATCAAAGCTGTGGTGATGATAAATGGTCACAGCTGGCAAGAGTGACCAAGGTCAAATATATTTGAGGGAATGTCTCAGCTCCTTCAGCCAAAGGTGACTCGGTGGGACTTTTGAAGCAGCCTTCATAACAGCAACACATCAGTTGTCTAAGGAAAGCCCTGAGCTTTGGGAAGGCAGTCCTGAGACTTAATGGAAAAGACCTCTTCTGGATTTCTGCTGGGATATTGTCATATCTTCTCAAGCTGCTTAATTACTACCAGATACATTGAACTGCTGTGGGTAACTTCAGGGGCTTTGAGCCTTTCTTGTGGAATTCCCTACTTTGTTTCACCTAAGCCATTGTATAGTGCTTCCTCCTAATCCCAGTACAAAAATGTGGTAACTCTTTGAAGTACAACCAGAATCCAACTTGGCCTTAAACCCAGTCTGAAGCTGGGAGCCAAATTTTACTGGAAAAACTTAGGGAGTAACAAGCAGCCGAATTGTGTTCATCCAGTTATGCAAAATTCATTAGATAAACTTGTTTCAGAAGGGTCCAGGAAGTAGTGAAAAATCTGCTTCTTGCCAAAACAGAGCTCTCTTAAAAAGCAACTGCTTGGGCATTGCTTTCTTTTTTCAGGAGTGACTTCAAGTTTAGAAGATGCCGTGCTTAGTAAACACTTGAGTGGTTTGGGGTCTTCACCCCTCTTCAGGGCTCTGACATGTTTACCTGGGAGAATGTATTGGACTGGCAAAGGATAGGGGGGGAAAAAACTTCTCTTCCTTTACCTGACTATTGTTCAAGTTCCTTCGCCCAGTGCTGTGCCAAGATAAACTAGTAGTAGAGCAGTTGAGAGTTTCCTCTTGCAAGAGCTGCACAGCTGAAAGCCCGAGCATGCCGAAGGAGAACTCTGGCTGGGGGCTGGGGCTGGGGGCTTGCACCTTCCCCCAGCCCCTGCGTGTGCAGGGGATGGCAGCTCCCCAGCCATCTGTCCTGCTCGCTCCAGGGGCACGTCTGCACAGGCAGCTGGGCCTCTGGTGCCTCCTGCTTGGTGCTGAGCTCTCCAGGCAGCACGCCTTGCTCAGCCTGACATCTATTCTGTTTCCCCAGGGGCAAAAGGTAGAAGAAAGCCAGATGGCTTTCTGCAGGCTAGGTGTGACCCACATTCTGTAATCAGACCATATGGAGATGCATGCACGTAAATCCTGGCTGCATTCTTTGTTCCTTGTCACAAAACACAGCTTCCTGTGTTCCTTAAAACCTCGTTCTTAAATTCTTCAGCATATTTGGGCTGAATTACAAATTCCTGAGCGTTAACTGTAGGACAATGATTAAACCTTCTTGGTGAATATATATGTTCTGTGAAATGAATTAACAAGGCCTGTGAACTCCTACATCTTAGTGTTCCAAACAGCACGTCTTTGACAGAATGCACAGCTTCTTGATTGACAGAGTAAGTTGTGGAGGTTTTTTAATTGAAGCAGGGGTATAAATAACATATGCACTAAAATGAAGCCATTGAAAATTTCAACTCTAAGGGAACACTGGTGCAGTATATTTGTAAACCAATGTATCAACAAGTTTTGATTAAGGGAAACTCCTCATTAGTGAAACCAGTCTGATAGCAACTGCAGTCCTGACCATGGCTCTCCTAGAGTCTTGACTAGCTCAGGAAATGTGTTGTGTCATTACTGGAGTAATGAGCCCCTTCTGTCAGATTCTGTTGGGTTTGCAAGGAAACTCCATGATATGGAGGAATAATCTCATTTCCACCCAAGGAAGTCTTTTAAATAGTTCACAAATGGTGTAACTGCAGGAAACTTTAAAACTCAGTCTAATCTGTTAAGATTGCTTTAGGATTGTTGTGGGGCTACTTCAGTCAATGGGATTAATTTGGAAGTGATCCAATTAAGAATTGCAACTCGTGGCAGTGGAAAAACATCTGTCAGGTCAGAACACATAGTCATAAATCACAGGGTGCTCTTCAGCCTGCTGATTACAACAAAAAAACCCTTTCTATCCTCTTTCATAATGTGACTGCTTTTATATAACAAATATACTTTCCTTAAGGAGCATATGCTTGGAATTCATGACACGGATGGCTAGAGGTTAGAGAAACTTAAAATGCCATGTCTGAGATGATCAGAAGACCCATTCCCAAGTTGATTCACATGCTGAAGTACTGATCATGTGGTGAATCTTCAGCTTGGAAATGCCATAGAGAAGAGAAGCACTGCACAATTGGCCTTGACTAAAGTGTAGTTTTATTCTTGTTACTTCTAGGCAATCTCAGATGCTGCATGTTGTAGTTTCTGTATATTCTGATGAAGGCTAGTGTACAATTTTGAAACCTTTAAAACTGAGTGAATCCTGAAAATGCCAGATTAACAGTGTAAGTTACTACAGGTAGTGTTCATGTTGTCCCAGGCATCTTACTCTCACCGTCTTTCAGTATCTTTAAAAGCAAACAACACCCCACCAAAAACCTAACCAGACTTAATCAAATTTTGCTGTAGAATCACCTGGATTGCTTAGGTGGTCTGACACCCTTTCTTAGTGTCTCTGCTTCCCTTAAGCTTATTTTCATGGGAAATTGTTTTTCCATCCCAATATTTTTAAGTTGTACTCGTTAGCTCATGTGTGCCTGGGGAAACGTTGCCCTTCTGAGCCCATGCACAGAGCTGGAAGCCTGGAGCTTCCCCAGGGGAGAGCCTGTTCCACCAGCCTGCTTTGTGCTCAGGAGGAGGAGGCTTGACACACACCAAGCAGAGCTGATGCAGAACAAGTTACTCCTGCTCTGAGGGCACTTGCTGCCTTCCCTCTGATGGAGCTGAGCGGCTCGTGGCTTGGCAGAGGGACTCTGCGTGGTCCTGTGTGTTCTGCAGAGGAGACTGGGATGTTTGGGTGAGCCTGACCATGTTAGTGACTCCTGTCCTACAGTTCAAGCTGTTTAAAATGTAAACCCCCTTTCTCTCAGAAGGACTTCATCAAAGGATGCTGTTTAATATGAGGCAGTGGCTAGTTTGGGTTGTTTTCCCCTCGTGACTGCACCGTGTCCAGTACTGGCCTTACCTAGTGGTGAGGAAATGAAGAGTATGAAAGTCACCCTCAGGCAGGGCTGGACCAAGTCAGTGACTAGAGCTGAAGCATCTGCTGCCTTCTGTGATTTACTTGCAATCTACGGGAGGTTTATCCTCTGGAGCAGCACAGCTTCAAAATCTTTAGTCACTCACTCAGCACAAGCTTATTATTTAAAATAAAGCCAAATTACAGTTATTAGCACTGTTGAGAGTATGGCTCAGTGTAAACTTGCCCTCCCAGCAGTGACAGAGAAAATAGGTGAGGATTGCTGTGGAGAAGGGGGTTTTGCTTTCCTTCCAAAAGGTTGTGTTGAAACCTGAAATTATCATTTTCCCTCCTTGATGTTGCATTAGGTGTTGGACATGCATTTATCTGTTGGTGTAGCCAGTAAAACTTAACCCTTTTTATTTTCTCAGTAAGCAGGTGTTTTTTTCTTACCTATTAATACTGTCCTCTCTCTTTGCAGACTGCCGTTGATGTTTTTAAGAGGATAATTTTGGAGGCAGAAAAAATCGATGGGGCAGCTTCACAAGGGAAGTCTTCATGCTCAGTAATGTAATTCCACTGCAAAACCTGAAAACACTGGGAATACATTCTACCTGGAGAAGCAAAACTGCCCATTATCTTTAAGGATAAACTATGCTTCTTTTTATTTTATTTTTTTTTTTTCTTCTGTTAACCCAAGAGATAAACAGTTGGTTTGGAGCCTTTCCCTTCAGATTATGTTAAACTCTGACTCCTGTGCAAATGGCTTCACTTCCATTTTCAAATTTTAAGCAATCATATTTTCAATTTATATATTGTATTTCTTAATATTATGACCAAGAATTTTACTGGCATTAATTTTTCAGTGTAGTTTGTTGGTTAGAATAATCATCAAAATGATGCATATTGTTACACTACTATTAACTAGGCTTGGATATCAGTGTTTCTTTGTGTTAAATGTATACTTGTAAATAAAATAGCTGCAAACCTTAAATGCTCTGTTTATAAATTTTTGTTGTTTGTTCCATATCAACTTTTTTTTGTGAAAAATGTTCACCTGCTGACCTTAAGAGGAGGAGTGAGATCCTTGGAGCCAGTGGATTGTTGTCGCCTATCCGTCCTTTGGGAAGGAGGCACAAATGACACCTTTGTTTTGGAAGGGAAGGTTTGGGGTCTCAGTCAGACAACCTGCACTGTATTTTTCCTTTGTAACTTCAGAGTTGTGGAGTAAAGGGTGTGCAGATCCACCCCAAGAAAAGGATACACCTGCCCTACAGACTGTTCACATGGACTTGTAACTAGGAATGGATCTATCCAGGAGACAAGCGGAGGCTTGCTAAGAAAACAAAAATGTCATTTAAAATAAACTGCATGTCCTGAGCAAATTACTGTGGGTTGTTTATCATGGATTTCTGTCCTTCTGCAGCTGGATAGCACTGGTGGAGCTGAGTGGTCTCCTTGTACCTGGCTGTTGGCAATGTTAGGGTCCCAGCACAGCTCTGGGCAGCTTCCCCTAACTAGCTGTAAGTTTTTACTTGGCTTTTGGACTAGAGGCTTGACAAGCCTTAATCTCTTAAGTCTGGAAACAAACTACTTCAACTATGTATTTAAAAAATGTTGCAGTTGACCTACTTTGTATTTAAAAACAAAACCCAAAACAAAAACGAGGCTAATTTGGGGAACAGTTAATCTAATGAAGTGTTTCTCATGCATTTTTGTCTCTCTTTCAAAACTTCATTTCTGGCAGAAGTAAAACAGAATGGAAAGTTGCAGTGGTTTTGCAACCAGAATTAGCCTTTGCATTTGATTTTGATTTGCAGTGCTAAAAGAGAAAAATTCTGCATGTCTTGTCTCCATTTCTTGCATGGTGGTTCCCTCATAAGATACAGAAAATGGTCGAAATCCCTGAATTAACAGTGTATGTAGAAAAACTTACTGTTTTCTTTGGTCACCATAAGGTTAACTGGCTTCCTGGGGAAAAAAAGAAATTGCCTTTTTTTTCCTGTACTCAGGTTATTTCCCAAAGTTTCAAAAAATTCATTTGTTACCTTAATTTTCACACTTTGTGCCAAATATGTTCTGTAGCTGGGTGATTGTCGGGCATGATAGTTCACTGAAGTTCAGCAAGGTTGGGGTGGTCATTCAGGGAAACCAGAACATGCTCTTCAGGAGGGCTTGAAGGCGAGTGCAGGTTCCCTGGATGCTTTGCAGTGGGAACGTAGAAGACTTCATGCACTCATCACTGCTCTTGCATTGTCTGTAAGAGCTGAAGAGCTGAATTCATCAACACGATTGTTTCCTTTTCCTCTTGCTGGCTAATCCAGTAAGTGTCAATCATTCCACTTGTCCAAGCCCTTCTCTGCTAATAAGATCTAAAGACCAGCCATGTGCAGTAGTCTTGCAGTTGTAATGCAGTCAAGTGAGCTCAGTAACCACTTGGCCTTTGCTGTACAGAGATGTCAGCTGGCTTCATGGGTCAGCACCTTCCAGCAGCTGGAGCCAAGTAGAGCTTGGGGCAGCCTCGTGCTCCCTCATACTGACCTCAGAGCTGGCGTGGGCCAGGCTCCACCCTGGGAGCCCTGGAACAGGGTGCTGGGCAATCTTGGAAGCCCTGTGTTGTGTGCAGCAGCAAGAAATTGGTACCTAGCAAGCTGCTGCTTGTCTGGGATCGATGGATTTATACAGCCTCCTCTGGCAGCTGCCCTGATCCTTCAGAGGCTTCTGGGGGGTTGTGGTAAGCAGTGTGTGGATTAAAGGTAAGTCATGAAGGAAATAAGTTCTCTGGCCCAGGCTAGAAAAAAATTGATACATACTTCATAGGGCCCAGCCTCATTCTTAAAGGGTGATCACTGGCAAAGGTGAAAGTGCAAAGATACTTTTCCTGTTGAGGAAATGGGCCAAATTTAACTACCAGAAGTCAAGTTAAATTCCCATTGAATTACATGGATTTAGAATGTGCTGTTCTGGAAATGACTCCAGCCTTGCTAGGGCTCCTGTCCAGCTCCTTTGCCATGTGAATGCTGATAAATCTCTGGGTTCCTTGAGCCCCAGAGGCGGAGCTGCCCATCTCACAGCCTGCTGTGCATGGAAGTGCTGAGGACAAGGAAAGTGGTGGGGCTGGGGCAGCTCAGCAAGTGGGGGACAGACTGCAGGCAGAAAGTGGATACCTGACCCTTTTTCCTGTTCTTGCTTCTATGCCCAGCAAAGTTTATCCCTGTCTGATTAACTCCACAGTGGAGAAGGCTTGGATGCAGCCTGGGTTGGGTCTTGTGGAGTCTTCTAATGCTTCTTCCCAGTGTCTGAAGGGTCGGTGAGTGCACACTGGAGGAGGAGGGAGCTGGAGCAGCAGTTTTACTGCTCCCTTGTGTCTGCAGTAGCTGTACTGTAGTATCAGGACCAGGGCAGGGGAGCATGTGCTGAAATTGGGCTTTGCTGATGAAGTGCTTGCAGCATTGGAGGCACAGGTGAAGACTTCAAGCTTCCATTTCCTAGTTTCTTTGAACAGAGAGCTTTCTATGTCTAAACTTGGACCTTGGAAGAGATCAAGGGCACCTTTTGCAGTTACCCTTGTTTCTGGCACAGGTAAGTCTAAAAAGATCCAGCTGGGTTTATCCCAGCTTGCAGCAGCCTGAAGTAAGAAGGGCAGCCCATGGCATGGTGCATATTTTTGGTTTTGCTTTCTTGAAAAGAAACGTGCAGTCTCACACCTTTGTTGCTGAAGAGTCTGTGCTGCTGCTGCCCTGTGCAGACGTCAGAGGCTGCTGTGGGGCGGTGACGATGCCCATGGGCTCGCCAGGCTCATCCTGCTAATTAGCACTCAGTGCCATAGCCTCTCGAGGAGAAATCAACAGGTTCTAATTAGCCCTTATGTAATCAGCAGTGCTCACCTTCAGAGCATCTCACTAACACTGACTAATCTTCACAATTTCATCTAATATGGTCAAAATTGCTCACCTTTGGCAGCTGGGGTGGGGGAGCTGAGAGCCTTTGCATAGATGCCGTCAGTTCATTATGGGCATAGTGGAAATGTGGCTAAACTAGATCTGGGTGACGGATGTCCTCAGCATCCAGCTTTTTCCTGGGTGTCATCTTTCTCTACTGGAATGTTTCCTTCCTGAAATAAGCTGAAAACTGAAAGGGTTTCACCCCAAGCCCCAGGCTTATTGTTGTTTTCCAAAATGAAAGTCCCATCTCTGTCAGACGCTTACTGAGGTGTGTGGTGAGCAGCATTAATACTGACCTCTGGAGACAATATTACTGAAAACAAGCCTTTGCAGATTTGTTTCAATATCCATCTCTGCAGTGCTGCTAAAAATTATTTGGCTAAGCCTGACCAGCAGGTCCCAGCTCCAAGGTGGGGAGCTATTTTTCTGAGAAGGAACCTGGCTGGAGCTGAACCATCATGACAAGGTTTGCTGAGGCACGAGGAGGTTTCGTGGTGTCTGTGCTGCACGTGGGGTGACACAAGGTGTCGTGTGGCATGGGATGGGGGGTGGATCAGGCTGTGGGGTGGCCACCCTTGGCAGAGAGACTGCAGACAACTCTGTCTTGGTGCATCCACCATGAAGACAATGCATTGAATGCAAACCCATCCCCTGGCAGCTGGTTCCCATTTCCAGGACCAGGTGATGTATTGTGCAGGGGTGGTGGGTTAGAACACTTGCTCTGCAGTTGTTGGTGTAACCACCCTCCCCAGCAGCACGTGGCAAACCCAGGCACTGGAAATGGGTTAATCACCAGTACAAGTTAGTGCCTCGGCTGTTGGTGTGAGGTTGGCTATGTCTTGACTGAACAATGTGGGTTTAATACAGGAACTCTCCCTTGAGCCATAAAGGTGCTTTCTCACTCAAATGTGTTGCTCTGAAGTGGCCCACGAGATGTGATCATCCTTTTGAGCAGTGAGACAAAAAAATTTTCCATGGGAAGGAGCTAGACCCATGGTTCTTACACCAGTAAGAGCTTAGAAGTATCTTGTAGTGAGGTATGTGAAGAAATCTGTGAGCTTTTTAAAGCAAGATGGTGTTTTGAAAGCCCTGAAATATGGATGTGTCCTGTGCCCAGGCTTGAGCTGCTTTGCAAATGCCAGAAACTCCTTCAGCAGCTGACGCGTGGCCCTTTCAGAGGACACGGTGCAACTCCTTGGCTATTGCTCACTTTATTGTTATTTCTGTGGGGTTGTAGTGGCCATAGCAGGTACCTCTGAGCAGAATGCTAATCCTGAAATGTTCCTGTTTGCATCAGTGAGGTCACCCTCAAAGATTCACCTCCAGGAGTGAAGCCCCACTCTCTTGAAATCTCTGAGTCAGAGAAGAAGTGAGTTTGACATCTTCTGACTGTAACTCAGGTCGTTTGGCACCATCCCTCTGCCAGCACCATGTAACACTGCAGATTATGGAGGCCAATTGCTCACATGTAATGGCCAATGTCTGCTGAGCTGCACAGAAAAATCACCCCCCTAAATCCTATGTAACAGACCATGGAAAGAGTTGGTGGCATCTCACAGCTGTGTTCTGAAAACAACCCAGTCTGGTCTTACTGATGCTGACACAACCTTGCTCACGAGCCCTTGGTATGTAATGGAAATAACTCTGTAAGAGGCCAGGAGCTGTGCCCGGGTCCTGTGTGTAGGTGGGACGTGAGGAGGAGAGCAGGGTGGTGGCCAGGAGCCACTATGGCTATCCAGGCAGGGTGTTTTTGTCCTGGATGGTTGAGTTCCAGTTCCCAGCACAGCTGGCTCTATCTCTGTGACTGGGGTTGGCACTGACAGTGCCCCATGACATTAAGTCCTTCCCACCCGTATTGCTGGAGATGTAACTGCAGGATTGCAATAGACTTCAAAGCAACCTTGGCCATCTTCTGTGACTGAGGTGTTTGATTTTCTCAGCCCCCTGGTTCTGGCCCGGCCTCAGAGCAAATACCTCTCCACACACCTGACTCCTCAGCACCATGGCAGGAAAGGCAGGCAGGGACAGCACAGCCTGGAGCCACCACTGCAGACCTCGAGCCCAACTTCTCACTCCTCTAAACCGATGTGTGCAGAAAACCTCAGACTTCGGGCTGCTGTCTGTGAAAGCCAAACACTCAAACTCATGAGCTGATGTTTCCAACACTTCATCCTTTAAACAGGCACAGCAGGGGAGGGCTCCCACGGTCCTGCTCGTGTGGGGCACGGTGGTGAGGTGTGATCCTGTGCCTGGGCACGAGCAGGAGGCGAGGTCTGCCCAGCATCGTGCGCCTCAGAGGCTGCGAGTGGCCTCGGGCTGCTTTCCCTTTTCCATTGGCAACCTTTCCATCCTTCACAAGGAGTTAAGAGGGTTTGTCCACGAGTTATTCTTCAATATTTTCTTTTGCCATCACTTTTCCTTTTTTTTTTTTTCCTATAAAGAGATTCTTTGTTGTCTCGTATCTTTAACGTGGTTTCTCAAAGAAATGAGAATGAAGTTGTCACACCCTTTTTCCATGTCTACTAAAATAGCTTTTGGACCTGTTGGACAACTTCTTACAAATCTAACAGCCAGGCACAAGTCTTAAATACACTATGTTCCTGTACATTTAATTAAAGCTCACACCTTAGGAGAAACAGGAAAATGCCATCATGAGGCAGAGACAGAGGAAACCAGGATTTGTGGTTCCATAAAAACCTCCTCCTGCAGTAATAATTTGCTTTACTGGATACTTTAGGGCCAGCTTGGCCTGGATGCTGTGGGTCTTCCTCTCCAGGCACCACCCAGCTCATGGCCAACGTGAAGAGCGTGTGGGCTGTTACAGCCCCAGTGGATGGGAGAGCTGGGTCCCAACGCCAATGATGGCACCACCTTGTCACCCTGGTGTGTAGCCATGGCTTGGAAGACACACATATCTCCTCCTTACCTCCTGGGGCACCAAGTCCAAGGCCATGGGGAAGGGCTGGTTTTGGGGATGTCACTAATGCTCCCCACCCTGGTTGCTGCTCTTCCAAGTGGGACTTTCCATAGGCTGTTACTTTCCTCACACCATCTGGTGACTAATTTAGCACCCAAAAAAAGAACACCAGAATTTCGATGAGGAATTGAGTAGGAAATAAAAAGAAATCAGAAATAAGAAGGAACTAACAGCCTTTCTGCGATGCTGGGACAGGTTTATCTGCATCAGCTGAAGGGTGCATTTCTTCTCCAAACACAACGTGCCTCCTTCCTCCTCCCGTGCATCCCAGTCAACGCCAGGTCTTACAGCTCAACCTACGTGTGTGTGCACACGCGCTTATTAACTTTTACATCCTAATTGAAAGGGTGGCGTATGGCTAAGCCCCAGTAATGACATCCTGCCTCTCCAAATGGTCTTTCATCTTGAAGTGAAGCAGTGAGCCGAGGCGGCGGAGCGGGGTTGCCGAGCGAGGCGACGAAGGGGAGGATTTGATGAGTAGGAGCTGGGTGTGAAGAGCTATTAAATAGCATAAAAGTCAAATCTCCTCTGAGCGTGGTGCCCTGGTACCTCTCTGCGTGCTGGGCCCTGGGCCACCCCCTTGCGTTTGTCGTCATCGCTTTGTAGCTTGGGTCATTAATATGAATTGATGGGGCTTATGGGTTGGGGCTTTCCCTTGCTGCTTGTCCCATGAATAAGACAGTCAAGGTCTCTGCATGCTTCTGTAACACAAAAGGGAGGACTATGAGGCAGCTTTTCCTTGTGCCAGTGTTCTGAGGTGTCAGGTTCTGAGGCTGTAATTGCACCTATATAGGAATTATTACCTCATGGTCAATGGTGTAGCTTAAAACTCCCTCCAGTCCTGACTTATGTCTGTGTCTTGGTGCTTCAGTACCAAAAGATCAAAACATCCATAAAAATGATGCTCGTGGATAGCGCTGGAAGCTTTGAGAGCCCAACCTTTGTGCTTGGGATGGGATTAGGTCCTTGGCTTTCAGAGGTGCTATTTAAAAGGTTCAAAGGTTGAAGGAGAAATTGCTTTGACAGATGGAGTGCAATGTATTATTGGTGAGAAGCCTTCCAAGGACACTCATTTTTGGTTGCCACACCACAATAGGTGAGAAGCTGAGAACAAACGGTAAAAAGAAGTGAACTGAATACAGGGAAATTATGTGCCACTCTTACAGATGCCACACTTTCCTTATTACTTCTTACCTGCTCTAAAAGAAAAGGATTATAAAGGAGAAAAAAAAAAAAGTGAAAAAAGGAAAGAGGAAAAAAAAGGGGGAAAACAGAGGGGAAGGAAAAAAAAAAAGAGGAAGGTGGGGAAGGCAAAAAAAAGAGAAGTCCTTCAAAAAGGAGCAGTCAATGTCCACTGCTAATCGACCAAAGCCCTGCCAAGCAAATCTTTTGTCAGATCGTCTGCCCCAAATCAAAAGCCCGGACTCAGCAGCCCCGGCCCGGGGGTTCTGCCTACGAAGCAGGAAAGCGCAAAGCCCCCGCTGCCCGCGCTTTGTTCCACGGCCCTCGCCGCTCCAGCCCCGTCTCCTCCGCACGCTATATAGCGGCGCGCCCGGCCTCCCGCTCCATCCAGGGCTTGGCTGCCTCCCGCTTCTGGTCTTGCATAGCAGCCAGCAGAAAATGTCTCAGTACTCAGGAAAAGTAAGTAACGACCCAGCCGCGTCCCTTTAGCCTGGGGCCGGAGGGCCCGAGCATCCTCCAGGCTGAAGGAGTAGGTCAGGATAGTATCCCGGAGGATGTGCCGTGAGAGGTGATACCAGGGGCAGATTTGGTAGCAGGGATGGGGAGGGTACAGCTGAAGGAACCGTG